CGTATAGCTCTGCTGTACGATTTAAACCCTAACTCGTTCTAGGTTCCGAGGTTGTCGTTCGATACGACGTAAACCCTCATATCTTCTAGGCAATTTGTGTGATCATGTCACGCAAATATAGACCCTAATTAAATAAAATTGGCAGGATGAAACCTTTTAATAATTTCTTCTCGAAACGGAAGCCCAACCATATGATAGACTGGGAAGTCACCGAGGCTCGCCTTCGGTTCTGTGGCCTCCCCTAGTTTCTCTTCATTTGGATTCCTCAACAATGTTCCAAATTCGAGAATTTCCCTTTTCACACCTCTTCGTCCGATTTTGTTGAAAAGTCCTATCCTTTTGACTGCTTTGAAGATAGTATTCTCTGATTTTTATCGAAAGTTTTTTTAGGTGACTTCGGACATTTAAGATGTAATTAACTATAGGGGCTTGCCTCTATAGGAAGCTTTTCCGAACCCAGTCTAAAATAAACCCTATTTAATTCTTTGTATTAAATAGGGGAATTTATCGGCAAATAAAACGGTTTCGCAGACCAAACGGATGTCATATATTTCTTAGTTTATTTGATCGAGCATCATCCTCAAGTCTTGTGTTTATCCCTCAGGATAGATACAAGATTTGAGGTAGAGCTTTCTTTCATTTAAATTGCGAAAAATATGAGGTCAGTTTGATTTCATATTTTTCTAAAATTATATATATATGTGTAAATTAAAACGTCCTTCCGAAACAGGCGACGGGACTTCACTTCCAGCGACCGACAGCTTCGTCGGGCAACCCCCAAACTTTTTAGCTGCCGACAGTGGCACATCACTTGCATCAATCTTATAGATTTGACAGTTGATCCATAATCAACCGCTTTGCTTCCTCATGTCTATGAAGCTTCGTTGTCGGCTTTATAGCCAACCATGTCACTTGCATTGGTTCACTTAAAGTATTTTGTTGGCTACATTGCTCACACCTCATTATCCAACTTTATCAACTACATCGTGCATCTCAATAAATAACTCTAACTTTGATTGCTTCATTTGCCACACTATTGAGGCTACTCCACGAGCATAACTTGCACTATTAATATGGATTTGTTAACAAATCATTGTACTAATGTTGCATAAATAATTAAGCATAAAGAGAGCTCTAATAAAAATAAATCTTATAAAATAAAATGAAATATGTTAAATCCATTAAAAGATCAGATATATTTGGAAGACCTTAAACTCTTTAAAAGATTGTGGGATAGTCAAAGTAACTTTAATTCACATAAATGATTGCCAATAACATCATTATGGATGCTCCTTAATTTAAATACTTTGCAATGTGGAGTTGGCTCATAGCTTTATCTAAAATTATAGTCACAAGGGGAGGTCCATGTTGATATATAAAGAGCGGAGGTTGTAATTTATTACACCTGCCTTATATGTTAGCGGCCTTTATAACTCCTAGTTGCGCTATTTTACCTTTGATCAAACTTGTAACCTCAAATCCAAAAGGAAAAGGTCAACCCAAGGCTAATTGATCTTTTTAGTAATGAGCAGGGTTGTAGGTGTATACATTGCATCTTGAAAAGGTTTTATTTGATCTTTTATGGATTTCATTCGACTTCTTGCATCATGGGTCACATTTATCGAGAATAATTTTGACCAACATTTTGAAATTTTGTTTCAAATTCTTTTTGGATTCAAATTGACATTCTCTATAATGATTATAAAATTTTGAGCAGTGCTCTAATTGACACTTTGCAGTTTTGGAAGGTTTTTCTTGATGACGTGCATCGGGCAATGTTTTGTGAATTTATTAAGGAAAATTCTTTTCCACTATTGTGTAAAGGTGGAACAAGTTTTAGATGAAATTATCACTCATAATTTACTGATGCTGCTTCACTTAAATGTCTAATATTTTTTGACCCTTTATAGAAATTTATAGAATATTTTCACTTTGTACACCTTTTTGATGGTTAAGGCTAAATTAATGATCCAATTTTCTAGTTAAGTCTCTTCATTTGGAAAAATTGCCTCAAATGTGTCAATGAATTTTTCCCTCAAATGTGTGGCATATAACATCACAACAACAAGGTGACTTTGAAATAAATTGGATAATTGCTAACATTTGTTCAAAAAGGAATGCTTAAAGATCTCTTCTCTTGTAGAAAACTTTTCAGATTTTGACAAATCATGATTCGATTGACTACCTTGAGGAGGAGAGTGTGGGATGTCCAGATTTCTTATCTAGGGCGTGGTTGCCATTGATGAACTTTTTGCTTGAAGCTTGGCATGTTTCTGATATAGGGAAAAATTTTGTGATAATATCATTGCATCAACTTCAAACCCAATTATTGGAAAGCATTCATTGGCGGATATGTTCATAAGATTAAATTAATTGATATTACATAAATTACCTTTTTTAGTGATATTGATTGCATTAAAAGATTTTTTTTTTTTAAATACATATGGAATTTTCCATGCATATTATGCAATGCAGAAAATTCTTGATGATCAACTTTATGGGAAAATTTTAACCATTTTCTTTGGGTTGAGCACATGAGGAGGATAGTCTCCAAAAGATTTTGTCAATTTGGTTAATCCATTGTGCTGCAATGATTTGGAACATAATTTTGCTTTGCAAAAAAATTTAATTAATGTAAAAAAATCTCTCATGCAAAAAGAATAAAATTTCGACACAAAATTATTTAAGGAGTTCATGTAGTCTGCAACACATTTTTAATAATTTTGTTTTATTTTGAAATTATATATGGTTGAAAAAATTCTTGGATTTTGGAAGGTTAGAGTTTCAGTTGCTATAATTGTTGGGATAAAAGAGATAAAAAATGAAATTGATAGAGTTTCATCTTAAAAAAAGAGAAAAACTCGGCAAGAATCCGTAGGGAAAACATATTTCATAGAGCACCCAAGTAAAAGGACAAGATAAATGGCATGCTAAATTTGAATATCTTAGATGTCAGCCAACCACATATTTGCGGAGTTTTCAGGAACTACCAGATGGGATCTCTATTTTCCTCTACTTTTCTGCTCTTTTTGTTTCAGCTGAGCACTTCTGAATCTCATAATTTTTTTTATTATTAAGTTCATTGCATAGCTCTTGTTGGCTGGAGCCACCCTAAAGCATTGCAATTAATGTGAAACTTTCTCCTCACTTTTCTCTTTTTATGGAGAAAGCGAGGTCTTATTATGTGACACAGTGCTCTTTGTTCTTTCGAACTTGAACTTTTCTTATGAAGCTTTTTTTGTTTCAAATTCAGTCTCTGCCCCTAACACTTCTGAGTAACCCTAAAGAATTACAGTTTGTGCGGACCTTATGCTCCATTAGGCCTACTATAGGTCAAGTGAGATTTCTTATCCACAACATAACAACCCTATATTTTATATTATGTCATTGTGTCCTACCATCTCTCTTATGCTCCATTACAACAACAACAAAAACAACAAAGCCTTAATCCCACTACGTGGGGTCGGCTACATGAATCCTTTTTCTCGAATTAAATATCGAGAACAATAATTTTTCCAGAACCCGCAAGATTTTTTTTTTTTCAACATTCTAGATTCAGCTTTTGCAGATCAAGTCTCAGTAAAGCCTTTAGTTTCAGCTCAACATTTTGAGAAAAGGTTTGCATAAAATTGCATCTACAATGGTCAAACTTTTTGTTACAGCGAAATTACGATGGAGGAGGGACAAATTACTTTATGGTCTTGAGGGAAGTCTGTGCTGATATTTAGAGAGTAGCTGTATATTGAAGTTTCTTTACAATCATAATTTAACAGAATTTTTGGATCTAAATGACACGACATCCAAAAACGAGGCAGTAATTATTGGGAACTTAAAAAGTTTGGCATGGCCATGAATAATTTTTGATACATCGAGAGTCAAGGCTGTTCGGAAGGTCAAAATCGATTCTAAATGTATTTTAAAAAGTTAATTCATAATTCAAATGAGCTGGAAGTAAGCCAAATATCTCAAAAAATTAATTTGTTTGATGCATTGAAACTTTTTACTCCAAAAATTTCTTGTGGTTCTCTCTATGCCTTTGAACCGATTTATTTGGAGGCTGAGCTCGATCAAACAGGACTGGCCATCTGCTCTTTATTTTTGGGACAAACCACGTGTAATGAGAGCTTGCTGTCACCATCATTTGCGGGCTATTGGATTGGCCTCTTGTCATCTTGTTTGTATGGCAATGCATGAACATTGTCTGATCGATCTTGCCAACTTGCAGCCGTTTTGTAGGTCAACTATGGACATTTAAAGTTCTAGGCGCTGTTATGGGATTTCATTTTATGAGCCATTTTGGTAAATGAACCCTCCATTATCAAGAGACATACCTGCCATATAAAAACGGTGGGACATCCTCACAATTTTCAATGATCCTAAATTTAAGTAAAAATATTCTTGAAATTATTTTTCATCTAATTAACCGGCCAAAACATTGATCCATCACCTTCGATGAACAAGTGGGATCGAGATCTGCGAAGTGGGGTGTCTTTATTGTCAATTGATGAAGTCATTGTTGGCAACTACTTTTTGATGAAAGCCATCACACATGTTTGAACTATTGGTTGTTTCCTTTTATCGGCAGCATTTTATCATGAAAGTACATGATTATTATTTGTTCCATGGAGTTTTTTCTTGATGACATATTTAATGTTTGATAAAAACTCAATCTGTCTGGGTCCAGAGAGTTTATTATTCTTATTATATCAAATTAACATATTCATTTAGTTGTTTAATATGAAGTCTCCATGTATGGTATTAACCTGGAGAAATGCCAGAAATTTTCATTTTCATTGTTAACTATGGATCAATCTTCCCATTCTGGAAGCATTTTTGAACTTCCCAGACAACTTCATGTTTGAAAATCATTTTGAACTACTCCTTTTTTTCGTTATTTATTTTTTAAAGTTTTTCTTACCTATTTCTTACATCTATACGGAAATGCATTCTTGGTAGTTGCTATTCAATGACATTATATTTTTTATGCTCTGACCTGGCAGGTTGGCAGAACTTCGAAGAAGAATTGGCCAACTACTGGTACATCTCATCATTCCATGACGTGTAGAGATGTAATTTCTATTTAAATAATGCATCCTGTATAATCCTTTTAAAACAAAATTGCTGGCGATGCTTTTTTTTTTTGCTTACATAAATATTGTATAAGCGAATTTTGGTAGATACAAATGCAAGTTGTGACATAGGAGGGTCATTTCTACTTTATCATTCATTTATGTTTCTACGGATATTAGCTTTTTTTCAAATATATGGTGTGAGCTTTTGTTTTTTGTTATGGACTTATGGTATATATATTCTGGGAGGATAAACATGAAGTTATCTTTTTTATACCAACCATTGATAAATTCAAAGTCATGCTAAATATATTGGACTAGTTTTTGCGTTGTAGCAATGGTTTATATTATTTAACCTCATTTTTCTTTATTTCCTTTTTGAAGAATTGATTTGATGTAAGTACATTTTTGAATTGTATTATTATTTATGTTTGTGCTTTGGAAATTATTTCACTTTCATTGTGTAAATTTGTGATCAAAGTGGTGCCCTAATCTATGTGACCAACATGCATTTCTTTGTACACGTAATGTTTGTCATTGCAAGATAAAAGGGGCGTTTGGGACCAATTTTTATTTTCTTAATTGTTTTTTATATTTTTCTTAAAATGAAATATGTTTGGTATGCTATAACTCATAACATAGCTGTTTTAAAAAAATGCTAAACAAACCATAATTTGTGACAGCTCTTGTATGCCATATTGACCATTAAGTAATTGTCAATTATTTTTCAGAATAATCATTATTTCTATCATCTTAAAACAAGTTCTATTGTTATGATATTCTCTTACCCACACACATTTTTCTGGATTTAGTTGTCGTGGGAATGTTAGTACAGAGCTCATTTTATCTAATGGGTGCTGGCATCATTTTTTGTTGATGTCATGTGTGTCTGGGACGTCGATATTACTTAAAGAGGGCGTCCATGTCGTTAACACTTCGAATACGGGCTAAAAATACACAAATTTTCATTTTGGATTGTTTGCTGAAAAAGTGGTCTGAACGACCTCGAACGATGAAACAGACCACGCGAGTGAGTCCGAAATGTCAACTCCACTTAGGATGGACGCTCGTTGGACCACGGTTTCGCATGCGGGGTAAAAATGCGCAAATTATCGTTTTGACCCAAATAGCTAAAAAAATGGTCTGAACGATCCAGAACGACGAAACGGGCCTCACCAATGTGTCCGAAACGTCGATTTTACCTAGGGGAGAAGTTCAGTTCTCTACGATCACGTGTTCGGCAAAAAGGAGGCGGAGAGATAATAATAATAATAATAATAATAATATATTATTATTATCATTATAAAATATATATTATCCTTAAAAAGGCTACACACCCTCTCTCTCCCTCTCTCCGCATCTCCTCAAAGCCCACGACAACGCCCGCCTCTCTATATATATATATATATATATATATATATGCAAAAAAGCCCTTCTCTCTCCTGGTTAAAAAAAAACAAAAAAGCAACGCATCTCTTGGCAAGCTTTTACAGCCCGTTGGCATCTCCTCACGGAAAACCGCTTGCACGCACCCATCTCTTTCTTCTTCGCCTTTTTTTTTCTGGGATATGTTGCCGACCCAGCGACACCGACCTGTTTATTATTTTAACCTGGCTTGTTTTATCTTTTGCATCGTGTTGCATGTCTGCACTTGTATGTATTTTCTTTGTTTCTTTCTGTGTTTTATCTGGGATTTCACGATACAACATAGACTCATTAATGATCATAAAATTATAATTTTCTATAAAATCCTAAATAAAATATTCAAGATAATTAAAATTTAGGATTAAAATATTCAGGATCTAAAAATTGCAACTTTTACTTTCCTGCATATATTAATAGGGCCTCCACAATACTTAGGACTGTTCTAGATAATTGCATTCATGATTGCATGTTCCGAGGAGGAGTTCCCGTACTTTTCCAACCTGACTAGCCCAACATACCTTCATATAGGTGGTTGTCTAGTGCGCCTAGGGTGTTAGAAGGCTCCCTGACCCAGACGGGGTGTAAGTTCTTTTGTTGGAGTGTTTACAGCTTTGTAGCTGAACCTCTGCTTTCTCTTATTTCTTGAGGCGTCCTTGCTACTTCGGCAAGTATAAGTCCCACCTCTTGGAGCTCCAACTTGTAGTCATAGGATAGAGTTTTAGAGTTTCCTTCCTC